TACAACCACTTAATTTCTGCATGTGATTCTGCATCAGAACCACAAACAGTAATAACAAGGAAAAAGGGTGATGTGAGTCAGCCCAAAACACACCTCCAAAAGAATTCTTCTAATTAAAACACAGTAGCCAAATGATGATGCAGCAGACACTGATCTCAATAAAATGGCACAACCTCATAGGGTGACATTCCTACCAGTGGGCTGACCGGCTGCTATAGTCATCACGTGGCCATCAACAAGCAGAATGTAAATCAACAACTTCTGCTTCAAAACTGTTATCATTGAGGATTACATAGCACAAGCGGTGGCCACAACTCAGTTCAATAATTGTGACTTGTTAAGATGAGGTTATTTGATTTCACACTGTCTTTTACTTTGACCCTCAGCTTTTGCATTGCTTTTCATACCACTCTTACAAACAAGAGGTTTTAATCTATAATCTGCTTAGATATTGAACATGAACATTCTCTCTTCAAGAAAATCCCTTCATGAAACTCTAAGATCTTTGCAGAAAAAATAAAAAATAAAAAAAATCAAAAGCGGAATAGCATACAGCTCCACTATGGCAAGTATTCATGGCCAAAAGAAAGTTTAAACCTACTCTGTAATCACTGGATTTTAAAACATGTCCCTTTACTAATATTATTACAAATAAAGTTTTTGAGTATAGAGAGACAAAAGCGTATGTTGCACACAAAAGTATTTCTATGTGAAAGAGTATCTTTTGAACCATCTGATGACTAAAAAATTTCAAAGTGCAAAATTAACACTTCAAGGCTTGTATCAACTTTTGCCATTGATCAGATCTGTGTAACCCAAAACCTGAGACTGGATAACCCACTGTTTAAAGCAAAACCACTCCTTTTACAAAAAAACCAAGGAATTTACTGTTCTGTTACAGTAAATTATTTCTTTGAAACTTTGCATACATTTTCTAAGTTCAAACACTAAGTTCAACAATCTTTTACTGAAACTACCTGAAGACATTTTCACACTATGTTACCCAGCTAAGCTACTTCCAGTGAGGCACAAACAACATGCCAACTCCTGCACTAGAAACTGCTGCAAACTAGGTCCAAAACCACAAGGCTGTACATGTAAGACAGACAATAAATCTCATCTATACTAAAAAATACATATCTCAGATAAATTAATGCACAAAGTGTTTTTACATATAGTTAAGTTTCAGTTTACTTATTCAGAGCTGATTCTCTGTGTTATTAGCATCAGCATGACGAAGGAACAGCCCATACAGTGTGCTGATGATGTGAAAGAACATCTGGCACCACCAGACATAGACAGGCCCTGATACAGCCACCTAGATACTGCATCCTTACTCCATATGCTATCCTGCCTCACAGAAAATTAACTGACACATGTTCTAAGACTAACAAAGACAACTCTTAGCAGCACCTTTGCTGACACATAGCATGAAATGTAAAAACTTTATACACAGCGATTTCCAGAGAGAATAGCCCTTTTTAAGACAACCTCCAAATTTGGCATCCCTTTCCCTGTATCTTATCTTCATGTCTCCTATCACTTTACTGCATGTGTATTAATTTAAGAAGTCAAGCACCAAAGCCTGACAGCTGAAATTTATTTGTTAATTGACCTACTGAAAACTTAGAAAACAGGTAACATTTGTCTTAAGTTCCCCTCCAAGACAAGCTAGTAAAGACACTTCAGATGACATATTCAGAGCTCTTCTTCTTCAGACATAGACAAAGACTACAGTCTCTCAACAGAATTCAGAAAGCCTTTCTGACCTGACCAATTTGAGACACTGAATAAGCATGCTACAAAGTAGCACAATCTGAAAGTCTTCAGAGACTAGGAGAGTTACATTCTCCTGCAAAACCTCACAGTACGGACTGATCATGTACCAAACACTGTGAACCAGATTACCGAAAAACCACCGCTTCTGAGGCTGCATGCAATAACTACAGACAAAAATAACTATGAAGGCTCTGAGCCAATAAGTTGAGTAAAGAATGTGAAATCAAATTTCTTTATTCTTGTACCTACTCTGTTAGTGTCTGATAAACTACAGCTTAAGTTAGAATGCACTAGCACTGTACGGAAAATTTCATCCTCTACCACACTGCCTGGTGATAACAAATGCAGTTGTTTCTGCTGCAGTGCTGTGAACCAAAACCAACTCACTGTCAATGATTTTTATTTTTATCTTCTTTACAAGTCTCTTTTTAATTTATTTGAGTTTTGCCACCTAATTCACCATGGAATCACACAAATGCAGGAACAAGGGAGGTAAGAATAAAAGGGTAACAGCATTTCTTTCTGCAGCAGTACCAGCTCAGGAAGCTTGCTGAACTCAGTGACCTTGAACTTGTTTAAAAGCCAAACTTGGTATCCTCAAAGCCAAACTAGGGAAGAAACATTTATAGTTCAATCCGCCACTTAGAGTTTGTTAACAGACGTGTAAGTACACCTGCAGAACACTCATCTAAAAATCAGTACAAGAGAACTGAAAAAGCCTCTGGCTGAGTAAAAACTTTATGACTTCAAAAAAAAAGCATGAAATTAGATGACCACGATTTTTATTCTAATTGAAGGTTTAGACTGAGCTCATCTGCCAAAAATTAAGGTGTCCTGAAATAGTTTCAAATTCACGGTTCCAATTTTTGGAAAACTGCATTTTCAGTGTTGCACAGCCATTATGTAGAATATACTGAGCACCGGTTATTTAATGTATTGTGGCTACTATGACCACATGCTAAATTTAAGTTCAGACAGCTCATTAATTTCTCAAGAGTTCTCAAAACAGCGTTACTAGTAGCATTATTTAGTAAGACTGCAGAAGACTCCATGTAAACTAGAGCCTCTGTTTCAGCTCCGTGGCAAACTGCAACAGCTTGGCAATGTGAATCACAGAACAAAAATGTATAGGTTGCTCAGGGCCTCTGGAGATCACTGGTCCCACCTTCTGCGGAACACAGGGCCTTAGGTGAGATGACCCAGCAACCTGACAAGCCAGGTCTTCAAGGGCGACTCCAGCGCTTCACTGGGCAACCTATTTGTGATTAACTGCTCTAATGGTGAAGAACATTTTTCCTACAACCAGACAATTTTCCCTGAAGCAACATCATTCCCATAGCCTCCTGCCCCAGCACCCTGCTCCCTTGTGAAGGGCGCACCTCCATCTTTCTCTGTAACTAGTTTCTCAATAATGGAAGACTGTGATCAGACCCTCCCTCCTCTGTGCTGAACAAACCCCATTTCTTCAGCTTTTCTCTGACAGTGAGGCCTCATAGGACAGTGTGGCCAAGGTTAGCCCTTTGCGTTATGATTGTAATGTATCTGTGCGTGTTATTGTAACTATAATGCCTAGAAATAATATAGCATGCCTAGGCTTCCTCTTGCTGTCATTTAAAATAACTGACAAGGCACAACAAAACATCGGCTAATTCTTAATGAATAAATGATTTACATCTCTGAAATAAAACTTTATAACTTTCATTTTTAATACAAAATTACATGTTATTCCACACACAGTTCAGTGCTATTAACACTAGGCCTTACACGTTTCTGCAAAGTGTTTGTACTCTAAACTGAAAAAAAGCTTGATTTCACAGAAAGACTTGATCAAACCTGTTAAGGATTCTTCACTGCATGACCTGCAGAAGACTACAAAGTAAAAAGCATCTGATGATTGTATTGGTTGAGTAAGAGATCAAACCCTCTACATGTCTCCGAGTTCTTATCAAGTGCAGCTTGACAATTAAATTATTGATCGTCTTGTGCCTCAGACATAACCACCTGCCTTACGTGAAGGCGTTAAGAATCTGAAATAAATGCATTCTGAAGCCATTACAGAGACAATTGTCCCTCTAATCCAAAGTGAAGAACATAGTTCACTAGTATTTTAACTTTCATACTAGCTAAGGAAGATTTAAATTATTTATGTTACATAAACGAGAGTCTTCTGCATGCTGACTTTGAGCTACAAAAGGCTTAAGTCACTTATTTTAAAATCGGCTTCCACGATGGATTAAAAGAGTGAAGCACAGGACTGAAAATAGATTAAAAGGCTCAATAAGTCTCGCCTCGTGGATATGGGGGAGTTTGCGCGAGCACTGACTAAACCCCTACACCCAACTCGTATTTTTTGTGAGCCGTCAGCTGCCGGCCAGATTCGAGGGAGCGCTCTCCTTTCGGCCATCGCGGCGCCCGGCCGATCTGCCGCCCGGCACGGTGCGGTGCTGCACCCCTGCCCACGGCCAGGGCGGCGGGTCAGCTCTCCCTCCAAGGAGGGATTTCCCCTCAACGCCACCGCCCCCCCCGGACAGGCGCCGGGCGAAAGG